TTTTTACCTTTTGAATCAGTAAGAGAATATCTATTTGCTCGGCATAAATAAACAAACAAACAAACAAACAAACGAACGAACGAACGAACGAACGAACGAACGAACGAACGAACGAACGAACGAACGAACGAATAAATAAATAAAATAAAAAATTATAGTCTGTTCAGCTTATTCTAAGTGAATCACCTAATTGTTTCAAGAGTCAAGTATATGTTAAGAATCCGTGGGCGAAGAACACAGCTTGAATGTTATCTTATCGAGCAGACTTGTAATCCTGCTCATTACATTTCGGAAATTTTCTCTAACCAATATTTTGCGATTACGATGAAACTAGGACAAGGGAAGAAAGTGTGTGAACTGCAAATGCGACGTCAACAAATTGTTGTAAGTACAGTTAGCTATTTGTTGTCTTCGGTGCTTAACTTAAAGGTTTTTCCCAGATTCTTTGGTTATGAAATCAACTTCCAATTTCTCTCGCAGTAGGCTTTCATCACAAGAAGTCAAAAAATTTTTGGCCATCTAGTGTTTGATATATAATTTAAAACGATTTTGGAAATGATGCGACCCCCCCCCTCCCCCCCAAAACATTTTAAATTATTAGAAGACTTCTATTGATCTCTCCTGTTCTTTAAGAGGTTTTTGTCTAGGTTCTTTCCCCCTATTAAAACCAATCTATCAGTTATTATATTGCGTGTTCAATGTACACAGTGTCCTGATTGTCCTAATTTATAACATAAATAATAAAAAAGGGAAATCAATTGGAAAATAAGATTTTGTAATGACTGTTACACCAATAAAAATGTTCGTTTTCTAAGTTAAGGCTGGTAAATATTTTAAGTGGAGGATATCAACTCTGCACGTCTAAACTCGTATGTAGCAAAAAGTGATGAGGATCCGCTGTAAATCGTTAGGGCTGTTCACTACATGGAACTATCCTCGACACCTGTTTTTCCAGAATAGCTATTTCTTACGATTTCCAAAATTTGCAGTTTGTTTTTAGCTTTGACAAGATAAGCAAGGAAATGCTGTAAACCCCCTGAAAGTAAGAAGAAAAAATGGACAATGACGCGAACTTCACAAACAAAGCTAGCGAACAAGGGGAAATGCGAGCTTGCGAATTTGTTTATAAACTTCCGGATGATGTCGCTAATGCTAAAGCTGTTTTGGCGACAATTTCTTCTATCATGAGCGTCCTGGCAGCACTTTCCAATACACTTATCTTGTTAGCAATAAAGAAGACTCCCTCTTTAAGTAAGCCTTCGCACATTCTCATCGCCAATCTCGCGCTCTCAGACTTCTTGGTTGGCGTACATGGTTCGTTTTTTTGGCCTACCGATGGCGTCAAGCAAGAAAATCGCTCTACGTTTTGCCTTTCTTCTTTAATTAACAGGGCATTTATTTACTGGTTGGCTGGCGTATCTCTTTTTACTCTTGTGGTTATTAGTTTTGATCGAGTTTTAGCTGTCAAGCTTAAAGCATCCTATTGCCTCGTGGTTACTGCCAAACGAGTTAAACTTGTTTTACTGGTTTGGTGGATAGTGTATGGAGGATATGTTGCTTTTTTGGCTTCTTGGAATTTTTTCACTTTGAAGACGATACTCAGGCAAGTGGCTGTGGTTATTTGTCTTCTAGTCACGTCCATAGCCGTTTCATACACTATAGCAGCCAAAGTACTACGAGGCCTTGCATGCCAGGTATCTGCAGCTAACAATCAGTCAAAGGATTTAAAAGCGCGGGCATTTGATGCCCTGAAATATCGTAAATCCTTGAAAACA